AGCGCTACACCTGACGTAGTGAACAATGGCAGGCCGGTCTACGGGAACATTGTTGCTAGCCAATTCATTCCGGCTGATGACGGCGACACTATCTTCGAGATTGGGTTGACCCGGATTTGATACACCTGTAAGAGATTCAGCCAGCCTGTTTACAAATGGAAGATCCTACATACCCATAAAAATGACTGCCCGCACGGGAACAGTATCTCCCCGATCAAAGTCCAGGACTTCCTGGTCATGACGTGGTGACCAAGATTAGCAACTCCGGCTGACCACACGTGGCGCGCAGGGAGCTCCCGGCAATTTGCTCATCCTTTTCTTCTGCTTGCTCAACATGTCTGACTTCACTTACATGGCAGCTTTGAGTTGAGTAACAATGAGAATTTAGTGAAGCTTATGTCAGTAGCCAGAGCCCCTCCAGCTTCTGCCTAAGCGCAGCTCCACTACTAGATGATGAGCTGCTTACGAGCTATAATAAAACACTGGGCAACTCTTCTGGAAGGCTTTGCATGTCGACCCCAATAAGTACATCTGGAAGCTCACATGGACGGTCGGGAGTCAAAATTAGAGGGCCAACTCGGTTCAAGCTCTTGTGACTTTTATGTAGCAGAGAGACTGCGGGATGAAACCGCCTGAGGCGGGATCTCAGCGTCGGTGTCCATTCGTGTAGCGGTGAGCGGCGTTATGAGATCGACACGATACTGGACAGAGAGAAAGCCACACCTGTGACCCACGGTGCTTGTAGGATCTGGCACCGTGCTGAGAAGAAGTACTGTCAAATGTATCATGACGGGTTCATGGGCTTATACAGGTCCTCAGTTCCCATCATGGATTCGGGGATGTCAATCGGTAGGGCAGGCACCACAGTGCTCTCATTGTGTGCCTCGGGTGATTGTGGCACGGTAATGTCATTAGCTATCCGCCAGTCAGCTTCAAACCCATTAAACTGGGCGCGGAAATTCCCTGGTCTGGTTTGAAACGTGTGAAGGACGAGATATCTGAGTAGTCTGGTGGTTCCTCGAAAGGCACCTCAATTTCGGACCAAGGCATGGCAATCGCGTTGCTGTAACCCGCCAGCCGTTCAATGTTGTCGGGATAGACTGCTGACATGGGTTCTCTTCCGTCTCCCTTGATAGTGACGGTCCAGAGAGAGCACAAATGCAAGCCATAACGAATGATAGTTGTAACACGGCGCATTTTGAAGGAAAGAAACTCTTCAATATCGCCTGGATGCCAACTCGGCGCTGTCACCCCGTTCAGACTCTAACCAGCACGTCAAGTTTTGTAACGGATTGGTCTCGTGACCTCTGTAATAGCAGCCATCAGATGCTCGGAGAGACTTTGTAGCCTTTAAGATGGGTTTCGGGCTTCATGCAGGACTCAAGTCTGAAGACAGCCTCCGATGAGTTTATCTTGCGATCCACACCCATAGGATGTGTATCAGGTCACGTTTTCTCCAAATAACTTACCAACACTTTGTTCGTTACGCACACATATAAATTGAAGTTTCTCATGTTTTCACTTGCCTTGTTGTACTACTGCTATGAGTTCAAGAATCCTTACTTTCATGGAAGCTCCTCAGTTGACGAACCGCATTTAAGCCGGCAGTACTGAGCATTACACAGTAGCAGACTAAACTGACGACATAAGACTCCTCAATCAGGCGCATATCGACACCTTTGCCATTGACATGGTTTACAAAGAGGCTGTTGACAAGCATTCACTGGAGCTTGCTTTCAGAACAGCTGCCACGGGGAGCTTTCAAGTGATTTTCTATCCGACTGTGCCAGTAAAGGGCCGCTGCCAAAAGAGGTCGTCATCGACCAAAGAAGAAACTTGGTTCTTCAACGCAACACTCCCAGCACCAGGGCAACCCGTCTATGTGGACGCTAGAAGGTCCAGGGGTTGCCGTCTGAAGTTATGATCCCTCCCGATCGTGCCATGTCTCCGCCAATGGCCTCTGTGTGAGCCCAAACAGCCCAAAATTCGACCCAAGAAAATCGGTGCTGCGTTTACATAAGCAGGAGGGTTATTTGGTGTCATGATATAGTACATCATCACAATATGCATTATTAGCTGGTGACCTGCTCTTTGAGGCTTGCAGCAAGTTATGCTTATCGGTGGATATTAGAAAGCCCAGAAGTCGATCTGCAATATCATCCACCAACCACTACTGCCTTGTCTGGCTGATTTTCACATGAGTACTCAGCTTCACTTCAGCGCTGGTCTCGAGCCTGAGTTTCGGCTTGGCCCACCAAGTTCCGCAATCGGCTGGGGCAGTCGATGGTGGAACACAGTGAGAGGAGAGAAGAAGTGGTTTGTCTCATGTGATTGCGGCGGTCCGACCTTGGGCCGTCTTAGTGCGTGTAATGCCAACGGGAATGCGAGGCGGCGGCACATGTTGGTTGGCCCGATGTTTGCCCCCCCAAGTCCCTGGATCCGAACATCTGAAAGGGTGTCTACAGCGGCATCGATAGAACCAACAAGATTCTGTCGGATGCGCGTCATCCGCAAGCACCCGTCCCTCCAACCATCGGGGGCTTCTTCACCTGGTGCAGATCGCCGGCCACCGAAAATGACTGGGCAGGGCCGAGAACGGCAAGAACGGCTGGGCAAGACATGGACAAACTCCAAGATAGACTAGCATTCTGGCTAGATCTGGGTGGCCAAATCTCTCCGGATGGTCGACGGTTGTGCGAAAAGGAGCCAATCACCGTGGGAGCACACCCCATTCTAGGCTACATTTCTCTTTTAAGGTTTGGGGGGACGGCGGGAAGATTTTAGATGCTTTTTCGGCGTAGCCGACACCGGACACTTTCGCCTCCGCAAGCTGTCCTGAAGCGAAATACACACAGAGTATTGTCTTCGACAGCTTGGTGAGCTCCGACAAGGCCGGTCCCTTGCATTTGACAGAGGTTGTCAAGAAGCAACTCGATGACTGGCCAATGCCTGTCGGTAGCACTAATCATTACGTACGATCAACATGATGTTAATAACTAGGAAAATCCGGGGTGCAGTTTCGACCCAATTGGGGCACTCTGCACGGTTCAATATCCGTGGGTGACTGGGCTGGTGCTCAAATGACGTCCGAGAGCAAGGCGGGAGCTAGCGAGCAACAGCAGCTTCTTTGGTGTCCTGTTTGAGCCTGGGCTGGTTGATGTGAGTGAGTCACGGGCTCGCGACATTCGCGGCAAACATGGCATCACCCTCACATTCTTCTTGTCGGACAACAGAGAGAATGGGGAACTCCGAGAGACAAGGCGGTGCCGACGGGTACCAGGACCGAGGTAGAGCCAGGAAAACCAACATGGACCAAGAAGTCTGAGCGAAAATTCCAGTCGCCTGTCTCTGGCTCCTCTGGCGCTGGGAAATTCGCGCAACGCCAAGGGGCGCTTGCGGGTTTGCTGCCATGGAACGAAGAGTCTGGTTCCATGGGCTCGGATTGTCAAAATTAGAGAAAGTGGGTTGTAGAGTCCTCGGCTCACCTGGGTCGGGAAACGGCAAAATAGGTGTTCATTCCAGCAAGGTCACAAGCTCATCGGACGACGCCGTGGCCGAGTCCCTCATGCAGCTCGCCTGCACGGCGAGAAAAGCAAGCAGGCAATCCGGGGTAGACTGTCGCCCTGCCATTCGCTGCCGGATCCAGACCGCCGACCACACACGTCTGACAGTCAACGTCAATTGAGGGACAAGACAGCCTTGTTCTGACGTTGCTCGCCTTGGTTCGATTCCCGTCACACCGAGTTTACGCTTTCTGACAGCCGACTCGGGGAACAAAGGCACCAGCGACATTGTATTGCCGCTGATGGCGGAATCTGACATTTCCCCTCCTTCGGGGCGTTTGCCATGGGCCAGCATGGGACGGTTTGGAGCATTGCGATCAAGTGACACCGGCGCCAGGGAATGACACCACCTGGAACCTTGCCTATCCCAGACAAGGGGCCGGTCAGGAACTTGGAGGGGGGACCTCTCGGGAAAAGGAAGGGAAAAAAGGGTGTATGGGGGGAAACCGCTGTCGTGCCTGGGTGCGTGGTGTTTTCGACTGGATGTCGTTGTTTTCATTACGTTTTGGTTAGTCAATGGAGTCGCCGCCCCCATGGCTCTTCTCCAAACAGAGTTGCAACGCGGCCACAACGCCTCGAAGCTCCCGATGCAACGGGTGACGGACTCGTTTTGAGAATCCAGCCCTTTTTTCCCTTGTAAAATTTCTCCCTTTCTCTCTCTCGCCGTTCACAAGCGCGGGCCGGCGCGGTCTAGCAAGTAACGTAGTAGGTGGTTAAGGTGTATCCACCGTAGAAAAAAAAATTGAAATGCCCACATGCACGTACGCAACTTGGAAGACCGAGCGTCAGTCAGCCAGAACTGCGCTTTGCGTGCTCCCCGGGCCCCCGATGGCGCGTATGTGGAGACGAAAAAAAGGCAAAAAGCCAAGAGACCAGAGGAAGGGGAAAAAAGCTCTGACTGACCCTGTGATCACTTTGTTGGCGTACCCTACACTACGTCAGGCCGAGCCAAGGATCTACTTGCGCCGTACTTGGGAAAGGTCGCGCAATGGCTGCTTGCGGCCAGATCCCACCATCCCATCCTTGCTCCAAGGAACTGAAGCTTAAAACAAAGACGGACTTGTGCTGTGCCTTTCTGCGGTTCTCTATTTAAATCCTTTGTCCCTTCTGATCCAGCCTGCCCCTCCAACCCATCCATCTGCTGTCCACCAAGCTCGACTTGCAACACCAACACCAGAGAAGACACACCTTCAGACCCAAGAACATAACAACAACCGAAACTCTTTCGAGTTACCTTTTGTCTGTACTAAACATCATTTTGAGTGTGTTTGACTCAGTCGCGCCTTCTCTCTGTTGCGCATAAGACCGAGCCACCCCGCGTTCTCACTCACCCGTTTGCCTCACGACTCCAACCCTCAACTCACGACAACTACACAACCACGCCCTCCAAGAACATACTCGCATACGCAGACGATACATAAGTAATAAACAATCACAATGCTTGCATCCACGGGACGTGGAGGCGCGGGAAACATCCGATCCGGACAGTCGCCCAAGATCACCCCCCAGGACCTCGAGACGCCTACGTTGAAGACTTCAGTTGTTACCACTGGCCGTGGGGGCCATGGAAATATGGTAGCGGGAGATTCTTCAGTCAAGCGTACGCTCCAGGATGTTGAAGCGTAAGTTTACCATCCTCTTCTTCTGGGGTGCGGATGGTACCCGGGTTGGGCATGGTTAGACATGAGAGAAGATCACGAAACTGACCAGCCTCCTACCACAGCATTCCTCGACGCGACAGCGGTGGCGCAACACATTATGGTAGGGGAGGAGCCAATGTCTTCAAAGGTTCCCCAGAGGAAGAGGCCGCCGCCCGCAAGGCCAAGGCCGAGGGCGCGAGCGCCGTCGACGACGAACAGTCCTCGTTCCGCAAGAGCCCGTCTCCCGAGGACAAGGGCAACGGCCTTGCTGCCAAGGGCAAGCAGTGGTTCAACAACCTGGGCAAGAAGGCATGAGCTCTCTTGTTCTGCTTGATTGCCCCTGAGTCAACTTATACCTCTCGGCGTCTCACTTGCGACATTTCGCATACACCTAGACACAGCATCCGACTTGTTATTACACCAGTCATCGAGACTGTTTTGAAGAGGCCTCGAGGAGTTTGTGGCTTGGTATTTTATTTCTCTCTTGTGACGGAGTTCATCATGGTCAGGGGGCAGTATGCCACTCAAATGCTCCAGTGACGACGGCTGGGTTCCTAAGGGCGTTCTTGGGAGTTTGGTCGAAAACGTCTGAAACGACATAAAAAAAGTTCTTGATACCACATTTTACGATATTAGGGCTATGACGGGAAGGAAAAGTACACAATGGAATCTATTAAATCTTGAATCATTCAAACTCGTTGTTACCCACGCACTGAGTCGTTGTGACGCTGCGCTCTGGCAAGGTCCAAACAAGGTGCGAGACAATGGACATGCGTAATTTAATCCAATCGGAATTGTTCATCTTCCTCAATGGGTTTTCGTATTCCATCTCTTGACATTCTGCCCGTCAGGTAATTCGAATGAAGACATGATCAATGTCACTTCTCATGATAGCGAGGCTGACTAATCTTGGTCACGAGCATCATTCTTCCGGGTTTATTGGTAGGGCCATAGGCCAAGTTTTCATGTGATATGCGATGCTCTAGTACGCGCGCCCGTCTCTAGCAAGACACTGAGAGATTTTAAGACCATGTTACCCCGTTTCTCTCCCTTTTATACCTGCATGGGTGTTCCTTTTCAGCATTGACGATGCATGCCTTTTGATAATCACCAGAGTCCTACACTCCAAACCTCCACACTTGACTTTTCCCTGCTTAGTTGCCCGCCAAGCGGTGAATCTCCGACAGGTAAAACCTGAGGTCCTCGGGGTTGACACCGGGGGTGATGCCTAGATCCTATCAGCCGAGCTGCTCGCTCTGTCTCGCATTTGGGAGAAAATGAGTGCTTGAACTTACCGTGACCGAGGTTGGCAATCCAGCCCTTCTTGCCACCGCCGAAACCCTTGACCATCACCTCAACAGCCTTAGTCATGGCCTCGTGTGTGCCGTACAGAACGCCCGGGTCGGCATTGCCCTGGAAGGTAATGCGCCTGTCGCCGCGAATCTTAACGGCATCGGCGGGGTCCTGAAGCCAGTCGAGACCAACGACGTCGTAGCCAATGTCGATGACAGAGTCCAGGGCGTGCCAGGCGCCCTTGGGGAACACCGTCATGGGTACGCGCTCGAGGTTCATCTCGGCAAGCTTCTTGGGCAGGTTGGCCGAAATGTACGCCAGGTAGGGCTCGCTGAACTCCTTGAAGGCTTCGGGGCCAAGCTCGCCGGCCCACGAGTCGAAGACCATGACGAGCTGGGCACCGGCCTTGACCTGCAGGGCGAGGTACTCAACGCAGACCTCTGCGATCTTTTGCAAAAGCTTCTTGGACTCCTCGGGGTGGCGGTAGATCCACCTCTTGCTCTGCATGAAGAGCTTGGTGCCGCCGCCCTCGACCATATAGCAGAAGAGGGTCCAGGGGGCGCCGCAGAAGCCGATGAGGGGCACGCGGCCGGCGAGCTTCTTGCGGGTAAGGGTGATGGCCTTGTAGACGTAGTCGAGCTCGGCGGCGACGTCGACAGACTTGGCCAAGACCTTTTCGTACTGCCCATCATCGGGGCGCTGAGCGGGTCGGGGAAGTGAGGGCCCTTCTTGTCAACCATCTCGACCGTCATGCCGAGGGCCTGGGGAACGACCAAGATGTCGGAGAAGATGATGGCGGCATCGAGGAGGCCAGCGAAGCGCTCGATCGGCTGCAGGGTCAGGGTGCTGGCGACCTCGGGGTCACGGCAACAGGCGAAGAAGTCGCGGTTGCCCTTGGCCTCATGGTATTCGGGGAGGTAGCGGCCGGCTGTTGCGCGATGGCGACGCAATATGTCAGGAGGCTGTTCTTGTGTGTTCATGTCCTGATCTTTGGACGAAGAGGGAAGGGCATCGTTACCTTGCCGCATGATCCAGCATGGTGGGCGCTCGACCGTCTCGCCTTGGTTAATGTTAGCATGTGCGCGGGACTGATGCAACTTTGGGAGATTCGTAAACATGTATCCGGGACGTACCTCTTGCTGCCCGAAGGAGCAGATCGTTCTTCAATGGCTCGAATGTCAACTCCATGATGTCGGCTTGCTACGAAAATGTGTTGCGAAATGCCGATGTTGGAGGTACCGGTGCGGAAGGCACAAATGCAGCGTGCCCCGCGGTTCGCCTGCTGGAAAACCCCGCCAAAGCTTCCCGCCCGTCCCTCCAATGGCGAGTGCATGCTCCCTGCGTCGCCGAGGTAGCCGGCCCGTCTCCAGCCACAGTGAGGCTTGATTGTGGCCCCATCGACGGAAGTGGGCCTTGCAACCCAAAGCTCTTTTCGACCTCCCTGGTAAATTGTCGCTTTTCAACACCAAGCAGCTCCGAATCCGTTTCCCATCGAATCAAATCGAGCCAATTGGCAATCAACAATCGCGCGTCAATTCGCCATTCCCAGGCTCAGCACTTCAACAGACAATGGCATAGGTCGATCTTGCGGACGATTGATCACTTGTCGCTTGGGCTGCCGTTCGAGCGACTACCTCAGCGACTCACTCCCGATGCCGCCGTCACGACCTACCGCGCGCTGCTGCCGAGTAGTCCAGCAACAGATCCGGGCGCCGTTGGACAACATATGGATCACGGAAGGTGTGCTGGCGAGTGCCTTTGAGCGCTATTGCCATGTATCACGACTCACACGACGGAAGTCGAGCTCCGTGCCCGGCCCGCTGGAAAACAGGAGGCGACTAGGCAAGAGGAAGATGACGGACCTGCACATGAACACCCAGCCGACGCTGCCTCCTTGGGCCATCGAGTTTCCGGTCGATCTGAGCCAGTGGAAGTGGCAGCCGCCAACGCAACGGTCATCGGAGAAGAACAGGGATCTACAGAGCCAGCAAAGCCAACCCGTGCCATCGAGGATCCTGCAATGGTGGACAAACAAGGTTGAGCCAAAAGAGGAGGAGCTCGATCGAATTGGAGCCGAGCACCAATCTGGAATCGAATTCCACCGTCAGCTCGCCAAAGCCCGAGCGGCCGTTGCGGCTTCCACCCCGAACGCGATCGGTCCAGCATATTACAACTTTATCGGGAGCCTGCAAGAGGACCTTAAAATGGGAGTACTGGATTCCGAAGCTGTGGACATGGCTGTTTCGACATTTCCGTCGTCTTTGATCGACACGGGTGTTGACGGCGAAGTGGTCAATGCTTCCATTGAGATGTTTCTTTCGGCCGTTGTCAATGGAATCGCATCCTCCAAGGTTTTGGGCCCGTCAGAGTTTGATGCGCGCCTTTGGAACCTTTTGCTAAATCGGATCTCACAACTACCGGCAAATGACGCGACGATTCTTTTGTTTCAAACTACCCTCGACGCAATTCCTCGCCAGTACGTCAACGATGCCCATGAGGGCATTGTTGCGGCAGTGCAAGCGCTAGCCGTATCTCAATTACCGGGGCGCGGACGGGCCGCGGATATTGGCGTTGCGCTCCGCTGTCTGTCGCCCACCGACCACGGCGCGCTACTCGACGGGATGGAAGCTGCAATCTACGAAGGTTCGGCGGCCTTTGAGGAGGAAACTCGCCAAAAGCTTCGCTTTCTTTGGTTGCAGACCTTGGCACACATGCCGCATGTGGACACTAGCTACCTTTTGGACGCATGCGTCAGGTCCGCCTATTTTGACGGCGAGCGGTTCAGCCTCGTCGGCCGAGATCTCAGCCGACTTCTCATCCAGTACTGGGCTACTCGCGGGTTCCTGTCGGAACACAAAGCTGTCGAGGCCGCGTGGGATCGCGATTCTTCCAACCATCCAGAATTGAATTTTGCTTGGCTGGCCACCCACATCTGCGATCTGGAGCCAAGGGGTTATAGGAATGGGCGACAAGTGGCGGTCCTGATGAGCTTCTTCAGGGTCTTAAGACGGCTTGGTCGGGAAAAGGAGCTTATGGCATCACTGCAAAGCTTCTGTGAGACCAGGGAGAAAGTGACGATTCTGCCGTTTAAGCTGCTAGCTATGGCTAGTCGCGACCACAACGCCGCGCTTGAGATATTCATGTTTCTGGAGACTCACGCCACCAAGTTGGACGGAAAGCTTAAAGCGCAGTGGAACTGGATGTCATGGATGCACTATGTGAAGCCCATGATCGAGGACAAGTCTGTTAACCCCTTGGTCATCTGGAAGCTTGTCAACTGCGGCGTTGGGAGGAGTTTCAGGAAAACAGTGCAGCAGCCGCAGCGGCTCATGAAGAAGAGGACGAGGCTGATGGAGAACATGGCATTGTGGTTCTCGCAGGCGGATCATTTCACGGACGCGATGGCTCTACGGCAAGTGTGTCGATGCGTCGGTTGGCTCCGCGGACACAACATCGCGCTGTCGGACAAGGTTCTTGTGGCGCTTCTGTCGGTGGTCACAAGGGAGTTCAAGAGGGGTGAATTTGGACGGACCAGTCGTCTAGCCTGGTTCCTAGATCTTTTGGAACAACATCAGGGCCCTGATGAGCGACGAGCCGTCGCTCAAGTGCTGCAGCGGTGGAGAATAACCAACGGGGACCTATATGCGGTGGCGAAGCGTCGAGCCGAGGAGCGGGCTCAAAAGTGAACAGAACAGGGTCTCGTTAGAGAATGGAACACACACAATATCAAGTCAAGGTGTTCTTTGGCTACGGAGTGAAAGGAAGTGCAAATCGAATGTGAGACGGTGAGACATGGAGCCTGGGGCATCGACTCCTAGTGGTGCAAATCCACGGTGCTGGTGCCTGCGGTGTCTTGTGTGCCTGGAGGGAGAAAGGATGGGATGGGTATGATCATTGGTGATGGGCGAGACACTAGAGATGCAGATAGCGAGCGCGCATGGATTGGGAGGGGGGCAGGACCGCCAATGAACTTCTGCAGTGGTACTGATGTTTCGAACGCGCGGGAGCGTGCCCTTGTCTTTCGTTTTGCCACGAGGATGATGAGAGGAAAGCCGGTGGATGGAATGTAATACAGCAACGGAGAAAACGCCGTGGGATACCTACCCGCATTCCAATGGGTTGACACTCTGCTCTCGGCCGGGTCCGAAGGTGAGGTGAGGTGACAAGGTGACAAGGTGAGCCAACCCAGACCGCATGCGTCTGGACATGGTGTAATTCCTTAGAAGACAAACCGAACCTTCTTTGTCTCCTCGTCGCATCTGATGAGACATACCTCCGTGTCCCAGTCCTCTAGAGAGTCTTGTGGCTCGTTGAAATAGTTGCTACACCGTGATTCCACGTGTTGCTAGGCATATGGATTACCGAGGACGGGGCAGGGTCTCTGATGCTTTGTTGGCGGCAGGCAATGGTCCCGGGGAAAGCGCATCTCTCATTTGCAGTTTTCGAGCCGAGGGAGCCGGGCCAACGAGGATGTCTTGAAGCTTAAGGCACGGTGGCTGTGAAGAAAGGGGGGGTGCGAGGCGTGTAATGTCGTGTCGTGTCGTGTACCTACATTAGGGTGGCTTCAGACACATTGGGCAGATGAAGCAGAGGAAGACGAAACAGGTGCAAGCAAGCATGTAATCTCGCATAGTCAATGGCGATCGGAAACCTCGGGTAGTGGCCAGATGAGAATCTGCTGGAAGCTGCATTGGGGCGGTTGGGGGACTTGGCGTTGCCATTTGAGGCTCTCACTTCGTGGTGCTTGGGGCAGCTGGAATGCGAGGTCTGGAATGCGTGGAAGGCTGATGGAAGCGGCACCGTTGTTGGTTAAGTCTGACGAACCCTGTGGAGCACCTGCAGAGGAACCTGAAAACAAACAGGGGCAGCGTATCGGTAAGGCATCACACAAAATGGAATACGGGGGCAACTCATGCTGGACCGTAGCATTCTGGACACTCGTGGTATATATTTGGCTCATCGAGAGGTGGGGGGAAGACGAGGGGCCAGGGGGGGTCGAGTGGTTTCCGATGCAACTTGGGAGCTGGCCGGCCGAGGCAACCTGCCAACTGGCGCTCCCCTTCCATCTCCCCTCTGAGATTACGTGCAGCGAAAGATGAGCAGCGAAAAAGAAAGGACGACGAGAGGGTTGTGGGCCAGCCAGGGGGCTTTGTCGACGTCGGTCCGCAGTTGATGACATCGAAGTCGACCGACATTTGGCTGTAGCCCCCGTTGAGGCGGCATTAGCTCAGTACTTGCATGGCCTTGACATGACCATGTTCAGACGACAGCTCTGGACGTATCAGAGAGTAGGACTGCGTTTGGTATTTGCATTTGATGATGCGCGGCACCGACCACTAACCGCCAATGAACCCAGGTCCATAAGAACCCTGCAGATGGTGACACTTTGTTCATGTTCGCTTGTCTTCATCCAAAGACATGGACAAGACCGACGGGCCCTAAGACGGTACGGGACAGGATACGACATGACACAATGCGACGACGGCATGTGGTTAAGACAGTACCACACAGCACAGCACAGCAAAGCACAGCACAGCGCAGCGCAGCGCGGCTCAGCTTCCACAACGGGTACTGGATGGACATGGTGGGCGAACGGCTTGAACGTGCCGACGCCAGCGACTCGGCAACTAAACAAGGCCAAGCAAGGCACCGCAGCGCCCTCCGCCCTCCGCCCCCCCCTCTAGCTCTGACAGGGCAGCGGACCAAACCCGGCGCAGTCTGCAGATAAGCTCTTGGTGGCCAGTTTCGGAGTTGCAAGGTGCAATGTACAGAAGCGTGTCTAGTGGCCCTAGGTAAGGCAGAGAGTTTGGCGGGCGAAGGCTTGGAGCTGAAGCGTGTCGGCCAGAGATTAGCGAAAAAAGAGAGGCGTCTGGGCTGTTGCGTGATGTTGCAAAAGCAAACTATTCCCTACGGGGAGGTGTGTCTTGGGCAGAGAGAAAGAAGTCCAGGGGTGCCGAACCTCGAAAGCCCCCGCATCCGGAAGTACCCGGTACCTGCAGCGGATCCCATTTACCCTCCTCTCACGGTGACCGGCCGGTGGTCTCGCCTTCCCGTCGGCACACATAACATGGTGATTTTGCCTGAGCAGCGGGGCGGTAGGAAGGGTCTCTCCTCCCTCCTGCCAATGTAGCTCGTACATGGCATCACAGGAACTTCGTTCTGGGCCACTCGACTCTCTGCCTCCCATCTTCTCTGCTCCACACCCCACCACCTGTCACTGCACGAAAGCTACCTTTACCTACCTACGGATGCACGCTTCGTTCGTCTTGCCTTCGTCTCTTGTCGTCTTGCTGGTGCCTCTTGCCAAGGGTGCCTCTTCTTCTTTTTTCATGTCACTCCCCCCGTTCGTCTCTTTCTCATTTCAGGTCCCCGTCGCGCACCCCCACCCTTTCTCTCTCTCTCTCTCTTTCCGTTCGTCTTACCTCCGTCCATTGTTGGATACCGCCGTAGAGAACGAAGTCAAATTCAAATCCAATCCTAATTGGGGATACGCCATCCCATCTACGCCTCTACCGGCTTAAGAGGCAGAAACCCAAACGGGTGCATGGCCACTTACATAGGCATGCGTGTGCCCACATCCGACTTGTCCTCCCTCACTCGCCCGCTCGCCTGTTCATCCACTCGACCTCCACCACCACCACGTCCTCCCCCTCTCAGGACTCCCCACCACCACCACCACCACCACCACCATATCAGAAGCCCGACCAGGGACATCAGACTAAAATCAACTCTCCTGCATGTTCCGCCCGCTCCTCTGACAGATCTCCGGCCACCAGTGGCTCCCACATCCTGCATCCATAACAGCCCACGTCCCCTTTTTACGTCCGTAACTCCCCCCGGGAAGCCCCAGGTGATCCTCGACCGTTCCCAGTTTCTATCCTTTTTTGGACCGCACCCTCGACTCTCACCAACGAATGACTGCCGTGTTTGCTTCCACTCTGAACTCAACAGGCATTCATATCACCCTCCTTTTCCAGACGCTCGGCCATCTGACAAGAAATCCGAGATCTGACGCCGTCCAACAACCAACCATCAAATGGACTCAGGCCATTATTCTTCCGCTGCACGTCATGTCGCCGCCGCCGCCGCCGGAGGTGGTGGTGCCATCTACTCGGCCCAGCCCATCGACCACACGCACGCCGCCTACCCTCACGCTCACTCGCACTTACAGACGCCCGCGCATTCACCCCACGGTCAGCCACAGTATTACCAGATGAACACTGTGAGCCCGTCCGCACAAGGGCCCTCCATGACGAGCCCGCGCGTCTTGCCAAACTCAGACCTCATGCCCGGTGGCCACTCGCCTGGATCAGCAACCTCCTCCGTGCCGCAAGGCAGGACTGGTCCGCCCGCCGGTCCTGCCTCCCCGGCTGCTTCAGTGTCGGGAGCTTCTAGTCCCTCTACCAAGCCCATCCGCAGGCGCATGCGCATGATCACATCGTGCCTCGAGTGCCGCCGACGCAAGCTCAAGTGCAACAAATCTCAGCCATGCGTCAACTGCATGAAGTTCTCCCGCGATTGCGTCTATCTTAGCCCCAAACTCGATGAGGCAAGCCAACTGCGTCTGACCGAGATCAAGGAGAAGGTCGGCTCCTTAGAGCGTCAGTTGGAGCGCGACGTTGCCAAGACCACATCTCGTGCCGCCATGCAGCAGGCTATCCTCGCGGATGACGTTGAGGACAACTTTGCCGAGGAGCGGGATCTCGAGCCTACCGACATGACTGCCCTTGATGTGACATACGAGGAGGACGCAGACGGAACCGATGATCTCATTGATCTGGGAGTCCAGGTCGGTCGTATGCGCATTACAGAACGGATCGGCGGCCTGTCTAGGCCAAGGATAGCAGAAGAGGTGTGTATTTGACTTTGTGAATCCCAGAGCGCATCGACGTCTCCCGTTGCTACCGGCAGCCTTCTAACGCAGTACTCAGATCTCGGCCGGTATTTCTGGTCAGGGAGGTCCTCCGGGACCGCCTGCTGGCGGCCCGATGGGCGGCATGGGCGGAATGATGGGTATGATGGGCGGTAGGGGCATGGGCGGGGCCGGACGAGGCGGGCCGCCCCGTGGTGGACCGCCCCCGGGGTATCCCGGTTTCGCCGGCCCACCACCAGGCATGGATGCCATGTCCGTTGTAAGCGGAAGTTCAAACGACTCAATTCCCGACTTTTTGAGGCCAGGCGAATCGTACATTCCGCCTTCCAGTGGCTTCTTCTTCGGTCACACATCCGAGGCTCTGTCTCTCGACAGGAGGCTGCCTCAAAAGGAAGCTGCAGACCGCCTCATCCAGCAGTACTTCCAAGCGGTCCATCCCGTTGCGCGGTGTGTTCACCGGCCATCCTTTGAGAACGAGTACCGTAATTTCTGGGATGAGGTATATAGCAACATTGAGCCTCGTGCCTCCATCCAGGCCATCATGTTTGCGGCATGGTTCAGTGCCGCAGTCAGCATGGACGACCCGACGGTCAGGGAACTGTTCGGTGTCACAAAGGCCAATCTGATTGAGCGGATGAAGACCGACACAGAGAGGGCGCTAGGAAAGGCCAATTTCCTCCGCACGACAAGAGTCGAGACCATGCAGGCTTTCATCATGTACATGGTACGTTCCATGCTCTTCGTGTGCCCCTATCTGTCGCTGACTTTGGACATAGCTTCCCCTCTGTAGAGCTGAGGTATCTCGAGCCCACTCTGTTCTCGTTGGTGCTGCCGTGAGAATGGCGGAGTGTATGGGCTTGCACAGAGATGGAGAGACCTACGGATTGAACCCCTTGGACACTCACGTTCGAAGACTCATCTGGCACCAACTGTGTTTCCTCGACATCCGGACTTGCGAAGCGCAAGGTCCGAGGCCGGCCATTAGGAGGGAAGATTACGACACCAAGCTGCCGCTCAATTGCGAAGAAGACGACCTTTACGCCGCGGGCCCGCCGCCTGAGCCGGCTGACCATTTCACCTCGACGTTGCCATCTCTCATTCGGTTTGAATGCAACGAGATGATGCGGATAATCTGGCTGGACCGCCGCAGGCTCGAGAGTCGACGAACCACCCTGACTGCTGTTCTCACAAAAATCGAGAACTTCAGACGACGCATGGTTGAAAAGTACCACCACTTCCTTGACGGCACGGTGCCAATCCAACGATACGCCAAGCTGGTGATGAACCTGCTTCTCTACCGGCTTCATGCCATGATTCTTCACCCCTACCATGCCAACGCCAACAGTCCCATGACACATCGACTGAACAACCTCTTGATCACTTCTGGTATCATGATTATTGAAATATCCATTCAACTTGAGAACGACCCATTGTTCCATGAATGGTCGTGGTATCTCGGCGCCTATCAACAGTTCCAAATTGCTCTGCTCTTGGCAACGGAGATATACTACCGACCGCAGAACCAGGAAGCCCACCGCATCTGGGCCTGCTTGGACTACGTCTTCAACACAGACCGGACCCTGCCCCCCGAGATCAAGGGACTGCATATCCTGGGCGAAATCATGGGCAAGATGCAGGCGTACCAAGGCATGCGCAAAATGCGCGCGCCGACAGGCACGTCACGAGCGGCACCAAGCAGGAACGCCGTCGGCCCCAAGAATGGCAACGCGGGGCTTCAGCCGCCGCATCAACAGTACAACGCGCAGGACGCGCAGATGGGCTTCAAGACGGAACCGGGTATGGGCAACGGCATCCAACAGCAATCGTCACCCATGAGCGGCATGGGATCCCCGGGCATGGCGTCGCCGAATGCGCAGATGGCCGGCCCGCCTCCAGGCATCGTTTTCGCGGGTGTTTCAAATGGCGAGGCCATCTGGAGTATGCCGCCCGTGAACGCCGACAGCCCGGAGAGCATCAGCGACGGTGCCAGCGTCGGCGGACACAGGCCTTCGCAGCCAGTGAACATGATGAACCCCCTTGAGGGTGTTGACTGGGTGAGTTTATCTCGTTTAGCACCTGCCAGCAAAGATGACAAAAACACTAACCGTATCAACTAGGACATTATCAACAACTTGTTCCCTCACGACCCGAACACGGGCGAACTCAACATCTCGGGCTTCAACGACCCATCCCTCGGGTTGATCAACGGATTCAATTGGGTGCAGCGATGATTGCAGATCATGCAGACAGTCGGCACTCTGTGCATGCGTTTGTGTGATTGGGCTTTGTTAGACGTCGCCGGGCTATATGCGCCCGTGGCAGCTCTAGATATCTATGATGCCATGGCTATATGTTAATACTTTTGGTATATAAGTAATGGGGTGGGCCGAGAGCCCCACCAGGACAAGGCTATGTTGCGAGTACATGTGGGAAAGGCAGATCTGAGACGAAAAGAAAATCTAGTTATATCACTAGAGGAAGGGGGCCGCAAGGAGTGGTTGGATTTTGTAACGCAAAGTTGGTGTGCTGATAGTCGATTGCGGATTGCGAGGCACGAGGCGATTTTGTCCATCGTGGCAAGGTTCCCTCGTGGGGTAATACAAAAGTGGTATTTCAACATTGTGCCTCTCTATCAGTGTTGTCAAGCGCGAATGGGCCTCGCGTTCAGTTTTCAAGGGCAAAAAAAAAACCCCAAAGTCGTGACTCGTTACTGTCTACAGCAGCCCCCCAAAGGGATTGCAACGTAAAGTATGTGTGTATAATGAAATTACAAATAAGAAATAAGTGTGTGATGAAGCGAGAAGAGAAAAATAACCCCCAGTAAGGTATCGTTGCGCACCCGGGAATGAAAGAAGAAAAAGAAGCCAGGCATTCTTTTCCTTCACACTCCCCCTCCTCTCTTCCGCCTCTAGTCTCTTCCCTCCCGAAGCCTTCAGAAAATGAGTATTCGTAACCTTCGTAACCTTGTTTGTTCTTTTTGGTATCCCATGCTATCCAACACTCAGATGTACCAGCCCAGTTTCACTTTCTAATCCTCCTGGGCAAAATGTTTTCTTATTACATCTGCGGCCCGCCATTTCGTGTATCACTCTCTTGAGTGTATGTGTGTGCGTGTGTGTATAAGGGTGTAAGTGTGGGTGTGTAATCACCGGGTCGAGGCCTGGTCGGGCAGGAACGTCCCCATGCTAATGTCGCTGCGCGTGGCCGCCGTCTGCCCGCCGAGCGACGCACCGCCAGCGTCGCTACCGGGCGTGAACAGACGGACGGCCTTGCCGCTCTTGGGCCGAGCCACCAGCACCTGGGCGGGGCAGACGACAATCTCGTCGTCGTTGTTGCCGGCGTCGTCGCCCTTCTTGACGACGAGCGGGAAGAGAACGATCCGGACGACGGCGTTCTGGGCCTCGAGAGCCTCGTTGGTGACAGACTTGTCGGCGCTGCGCTCGTTCATGAGCGCCGCGTTGAAGGTGACCGTGTCGGCGAGCTCGCCGTCGGGGTCGTACTCGGGCTGCAGCGGCGGGAGCATCATGTACTCGGCGCGCTGGGTGCGCATCTCGATGGAGAGGTCGACGGCCTCCCGCATCACGCGGCGCAGCTGTGACTGGATCTGGTCCTCCAGGTTGGACGGGGGAGGGAGGACCTTGGACAGCGTCTGGAAGATGGCCTGGACCACGGCCTCGGTGTCGAGGTCGCGCTGGTGCTTGAAGCTGGGCCGCTTAGAGAGGAGCGTCAGGGTGACGGCGCGCCATTGTCGGACGGCCTGCTGAGGGCCGACCTCGGTAAGCAGCTTCTCCAGCGACTTGAGCTTTTGTCGCTGCTCGCGGTCCATGCCGAATAGGTATCGGGTGAACACGAACTCCCAAATCATGTTCATCGTCATGGACATGAACACGTCTCGGCGCTTGACGCGGTCGCCGAGGTACGTGTCCACGTCGGTGCCATCTAGGATGGAGTTGTCGAGACGGTCAATGACCTTCTCGTCGTTGATTTCATTTGTCAGACGGCAGGCACGCATGTCTGAGAACTTGGAGAACCGAAGAACCCATTGCTGCACATGAGAGCAGAGCTGCTGGCACCTATGATCAAAGTGGTCGACGTCCTTGACGTTGAGGAAGTCACTGTCGGCGCCCTTGGTAGCCAGAATCTGGCGCTGCATCTGGCGGATCTTGTCTTTGGCAGCGTCGAGCTCGGAACGGAGCCGACCAATCTCGGCGTCTTTTTGCAGCAGCGACTCCTGGAAGTGGCCCTGTTCGGTGCGCGCTTCTTCCAATCGTCGTGAGGTGTCAGCGTGCTGCGTCTCCAATGAACGGTAGCGCTCATTGTGTTGGGCAGCAAGTTGGGCATTGGCACTGTTCAGGCCCTCGTTGACCTCGGTCAAGCGGGCCACCTCCTTTTGTAGAAACTCGAGCGACTGCTTGAGGACGTCGATTTCGGCATCGCGCTCTGCCAGAATGCCAGAGGCTCTGTTGCTGCTGTGGGAGTCGGCGTGGGATCGGGCGTCGGTGAGCATCCGATTCTCAGCCATCAATTGCTCGACGCGAGACTCGAGCTCGAGGACTTGCATGCTCTGGCGTCGGCGCATGCTGTGCGGGCGGGTCGGCGATCGGGGAGAACCGATGCGGCCTTCACCGAATCCATCCTACGATCAGGTCAGTCAAGTGTCGGTGAGAATTGGGGTGGCTGGCGGTGGGCGCGCAGCAGACGTCGTCGATTGCGGGTGAATGGATGCAGAAAAACAGGGAAAAAAAAAGTGTGCACAGGAAGCAGTGACGCAGAGTGAACTTACATAGACGTCGGCCATGTCCTTTGTGCGGACACGACCTTCGTTGGCGACGGGGGTGTTGGAGGAGCTGGTCGAGTCCTTGTGGTCCTTGTTGAGGTCAAGCTGACTTCGTTGGCTAAGAGATCGTAGGTCTCCGCTTACACGCCTGTCGACCCGGCGGAGAGGCGGGGTGGCAGTGCCTGACCGCTGGATGCCTGGGCTCTCAGGCCCCAACTTTAGTGGCTCCGGTGTTGGCGTCCCCATCGCCCGCCTGTGCCGTGACAGGCTGCTGTTGGACATGGACCTGCGCGCTACTGGCTCTGTGGGCACTGGCGACTGCAGCCGTGCAACCCTGTCGGAAACGCTGCGATTGCCCGGTGGAGGAGTACTGCGTGGTGACGAGCAAGTACTGCTGATGGCTGCACCGGCCAGTGCTGCCGATGCCAGGTCCTGGTACTTGGACCTTTTCCTCTCCAACTCTGGGCTGATGGTTCTTCTGTACTTTTGGGGCTCAGGAGTGAGCTCCCGTCCGGTGGGCTCCCGGAGCACAGGAGTCTTGGAAAGAGGATGATCGCGAGTTTCTCCTTCGGCGAAAGGGGACCGCTGTAGTACTGTCTTGTCCGTTGGTGATTTGGCTCTTTCCAACTCGCGTGACCTCCGCCTCTCGCTCTTGTGAACCTTCAATTCGGGAGTTCGTTGGCCGTCCCGGCCTGGCGATCTCTTGTCTTGCCACTCCCGAAGATGGACGCCGCTGTCCCGTTGGTCCTCGTCGAAGCCGCTTCTTCTGAAGGGGTGAGGTGAGCCGGTCACGAATCCGCTGTCCCGGGTCGGGTCTGGCGAGCCAAGCGTTGTTCGAGAAGCTGGTCTATATAGCAGTCGATGCTCGGTCTCAGCTCCTTCGTGCGCCTCTTCCTGTACCGGTGGCAAGATGGTCGGAACTGGGCTGCGGAAACCACCAATTTCGAAGCTGCGTTCCGGGCTTTTTGATGAATGTCCACCTGACAGGTCGCGACGAGCTTCAGCCTCGAACCCGCGATCAACCGCTTCGTCCATGTCGCTAACCATGGTATTTGTCTTGGATGTCTTTGCACTCCGGCTCAGTGAACGTCCCGGTTTCTCGTTGACACCCATCCCGTCAGCTGTCTCTGGTCCGGGTTCCCGGCCGAGAATCGGACTCTCAACGTTGTCGTTCTGTGCCTTCTCTTTTAGCGGTGCCACCAGGCCCAGAACATCTCTGGGTTTGTCCTCCGACTTGTTCACTTCCAACGTCCGCGGTGCTGGAAATGTGCCGGGCTCCGCTGTGTGAACTGCAACCTCTTGTGGCTGACCATGGATATTCAAGCCTCTTAGCGCAGGGCCAAAGACATCGTCCGCCTTTTGCCCCGTCATGTCTTGACTAAATGGTCGTTGCGTAAACCCGGACTTATCGCCTTCTACGATATTCGCGTCTGCGAATGGCTCTGATGACCGCTGATGACCATCGCCTTCACCACCACCCCAGAAACCCTCAACC